GGGACGGTACACTTGCCTTCCAGCCCTAAGCCTATAAGGGGCAAAGGCTTAACTGTCCTTGAGATCGAGTCCTGATCGGATTCCGACTGAACTCCCCCGAGATCACCCTCGTGGGAGGGGATCAGGTCAGATTCCGATTGTTTCCATGCCTAGGCCAAAATCAGGTCGGCCCTTTTCCGACTCCCCCCTTGGTGTGCCGATACGGTACACTTGCCTTCCAGTCCTGAGCCTTATAGGCAAAAGAGCTTTAAGGAATTACTCCCCGGGACCGTTTCAGAATTATACCGAGATGGTACACTTGCCTTCCTGTCCTGAGCCTTATAAGGCGTAGGGGCTTAGCTAGCCATGATATTAGATCAATGCCTACGTGGGAAGGTTAGATCAAATTCTAACCGAGATGGTACACCTCCCTTCAAGCCCTGACTTTACGTTGTATTGACGCAAAAACTATTATTATTTTATGAAGCGTATTACTAGATTTCGATTCACTAATCATCATTATGCATTATGTGAGAGAGAATAACCGAGACATTCGTCGATATCATGAATAATGGAGAAAATAAACTAAGTTAACAAATTTCATTTTGGTATACCATGTCATCCAAATTCCTATTGGAAGAAAATAAACTAAGTTAAAAAATTTTGTTTTGGTATACCATGTCATCCAAATTCCGATTGGAAGAAAATAAACTAAGTTAACAACTCCATTTTTGATGTACCATGTCATCCAAATTCCGATTGGAAGAAAATAAACTAACTTCCAGCCCTAAGCCTATAAGGGGCAAAGGCTTAACTGTCCTTGAGATCGAGTCCTGATCGGATTCCGACTGAACTCCCCCGAGATCACCCTCGTGGGAGGGGATCAGGTCAGATTCCGATTGTTTCCATGCCTAGGCCAAAATCAGGTCGGCCCTTTTCCGACTCCCCCCTTGGTGTGCCGATACGGTACACTTGCCTTCCAGTCCTGAGCCTTATAGGCAAAAGAGCTTTAAGGAATTACTCCCCGGGACCGTTTCAGAATTATACCGAGATGGTACACTTGCCTTCCTGTCCTGAGCCTTATAAGGCGTAGGGGCTTAGCTAGCCATGATATTAGATCGAGATCACCCTCGTGGGAGGGGATCAGGTCAGATTCCGATTGTTTCCATGCCTAGGCCAAAATCAGGTCGGCCCTTTTCCGACTCCCCCCTTGGTGTGCCGATACGGTACACTTGCCTTCCAGTCCTGAGCCTTATAGGCAAAAGAGCTTTAAGGAATTACTCCCCGGGACCGTTTCAGAATTATACCGAGATGGTACACTTGCCTTCCTGTCCTGAGCCTTATAAGGCGTAGGGGCTTAGCTAGCCATGATATTAGATCAATGCCTACGTGGGAAGGTTAGATCAAATTCTAACCGAGATGGTACACCTCCCTTCAAGCCCTGACTTTACGTTGTATTGACGCAAAAACTATTATTATTTTATGAAGCGTATTACTAGATTTCGATTCACTAATCATCATTATGCATTATGTGAGAGAGAATAACCGAGACATTCGTCGATATCATGAATAATGGAGAAAATAAACTAAGTTAACAAATTTCATTTTGGTATACCATGTCATCCAAATTCCTATTGGAAGAAAATAAACTAAGTTAAAAAATTTTGTTTTGGTATACCATGTCATCCAAATTCCGATTGGAAGAAAATAAACTAAGTTAACAACTCCATTTTTGATGTACCATGTCATCCAAATTCCGATTGGAAGAAAATAAACTAAGTTAAAAAAATTGTTTTGGTATACCATGTCATCCAAATTCCGATTAGAAGAAAATAAACTAAGTTAAAAAATTTTGTTTTGGTATACCATGTCATCCAAATTCCGATTGGAAGAAAATAAACTAAGTTAAAAAATTTTGTTTTGGTATACCATGTCATCCAAATTCCGATTGGAAGAAAATAAACTAAGTTAAAAAATTTTGTTTTGGTATACCATGTCATCCAAATTCCGATTGGAAGAAAATAAACTAAGTTAAAAACTCCATTTTTGGTATACCATGTCATCCAAATTCCGATTGGAAGAAAATAAACTAAGTTAAAAAATTTTGTTTTGGTATACCATGTCATCTAAATTCCGATTGGAAGAAAATAAACTAAGTTAAGGTAAAAGGTTACTTCCAACAGTATGGAGTTGATTTTTCTGATACGTTTGCACCTGTTGCAAGACATGATACAATCAGATTACTGATCTCTTTGGCAACAAAACTTGGCTGGAAAATTTATCATTTTGATGTAAAATCAGCTTTTCTAAATGGATTGCTTGATGAAGATATATATGTTGATCAACTTGAAGGTTTTCAGGTTCAGGAAGTGAAGATAAAGTTTATAAGCTTCATAAAGCTCTTTATGGCTTAAAACAGACACCAAGAGCCTGGTATAGCACAATTGATGGTTATCTTCTGCAAAAAATTCAAAAGAATCCATTCGGAATTTAACCGATCAATCACGAGTTTGATCTAAACCATGAACTATATATGTAAAATTGAAAATTTGATATTTATTGCTTACTTGTGCCTCGTTAAAGACCTTCTCGATTTTCTGCTGCTCTTTTATTGATCTGTCCTTCCTCCGTCTTTATATGGCTCAGGGTGAAAGCTCTTACCTTCGACATCGTTTGACAATTTGCTCTTTCCAGTGCGACATCGAAATCACCTGACCTTAGTCCCTTTTGAAAGGCGATGACCGCCATCTTCTCGTCCAAGGATGCTATCCTCAAAGCCACTTTGTTAAACCTTTGCAAAAAGTCCTTCAACGACTCCTCACGTTGCTGCTTGAGATCGAACAAATCCGACGTGATCGGTGGTTTCCTCTTATTTGCCACAAATTATGCCATGAAAAGCTGACTGAAAACATTAAAGTCGGTGATCGATCGGTCAGGAAGACCGCTGAACCAATCGAGGGCCGCCTTTTTGAGTGTTCCCATGAACAGTTTGCATCAGACTTCCATACTCCCCCCACATATCAACATCTAAGCGCAGAAATCCGTCAGGTTCTGAATAGGATCCTGTGTCCCATCAAAAGGTTCCACCTGGGGGACTCGGTGGTCTCTCGGAATGATTTCGGCCTCTATAACCTCCGAGAAAGGTCTAAAGTCCCTTGGGACTTGCGTCATCACGTCTTCCTCCACCGTTCTGATATTATCTGCCATCATGGCTTGCATCTTATCGGCTCGTCGTCTGATTTCCTCGTTCTCCTGCTGAATGGCCTCCTCCCTTTCTCTGGATCGCGCATTCTCCTCTCTTAAGTCGTTGATCAATGCTATCATCTCCTCCATAATAGGGTGTTGTGGGTCGTGGTTTGGTGCGCCGCCTCTCGCCATTTTTCGTAGCTTTTTGTTCTTCAAGTTTTTTTTTTTTTT